AGCTGACATCGCATACCGTGGAAGACCCAATAAAAGAGTGCATAGATAACAGCACCGAAAGGTATTTTTTGTTAGGTTCCTCATTAACCACAAAAAGTGTGCAAAGATAATCTCGTTGCTACAAGAGTATATTGATGTATTCGTCTAGGGGGCAAGTGAGGATAGCCTGCCACCACCTCAATGTTAATCCAAGTTTCAAACCAATCAAGCAAAAATAGAGGCGATCGACTCCACAACACAGGGATACGGTAAGGGAAGAAGTGAAAAGAATGCTAGAAGCCCGAATCATCAAAGAAGTATAGTACCCGACTTGGCTAACAAATATAGTTATGGTAAAGAGGATGATAGGAAAATGGAGGGTGTGGGTAGATTTTACTGACCTGAATAAAGCATATCCTAAAGACAGTTTTCCATTGCCCAAGATCGACCAATTGGTTGATGGAACCGCGGGACTCGAAAGGATGAGCTTTCTCGACGCATATCGGGGCTATCACCAATCCACCTTATCGAACAGGATCAGGAAAAAACGGTGTTTATAACCCCCAAAAGGCATTTATTGTTGCAAGATAATGCCATTTGGGTTAAAAAAAAATGCCAGGGCAACATATCAGAGGTTGGTCATAAAATGTTTTTAGACATGATTGATTTTATGGAAGTCTACATTGACGATATGGTAGTGAAAAGCCAAGCAGAACGTGATCACATCGCCAACCTCAAAAGAACTTTCAAAGTCCTACGCAAATTTGGAATGAAGCTGAATGCTTCAAATTGTGCATGTGGAGTCAAATAAGGAAAATTTTTGGGCTTCTTGGTTACCCATCGGGGAATTGAGGCAAACCTGGACCAGGTCACAGCACTAACCCAACTAGAACAACCCAAAATGATAACAAGAAGTTCAAAGGTTAATGGGAATGGCTGCGGCACTAAGAAGGTTCATCTCCCGCACCTCTGACAGGTCTTCCTTTCTTCCAGGAAATTAAAAGAAGGACTGACCCACCTTGGGATCAAGAGTGCGAGGAAGCTTTTCATGATCTAAAGGCGTATCTGGCATCGTCACCACTCTTGGCAATGCCTTCCTTAGGAGAGCGATTGTTATTGTACCTAGCATTGTCCGAGCACGCAACCAACCATGCTCTAATGAAAAACTCACAAAAGGGGTTAAGTTCGATTTATTATGTAAGTAAGATGCTCCTTGATGCAGAGACAATGTACCTACTGCTAGAAAACCTTGTGCTTACACTAGTTAATACAGGTCAAAATTTGCGACACTACTTCCAGGCATACACTATAGTGGTACTCACAGACCAGCCCCTTAAAGCTTTGTTCAAAAAAATTGACCTGTTTGAGAGAATTTCTAAATGGGCCATAAAACTGGGCGAATTCGACATCATTTTCGAGTCACGAACTGCAATAAAGGGTCAAGTCGTTACTAATTTCATTGCCAACTTCTCTCCTAGGGAACATGAATAAATACCATCCCCTCCCCAGGGAAGAGGATTAGATATGGAGCAAGGATGGGGTTTGTTTATCAATAGAGCTTCAAACTATAAAGAAGTAGGAGTAGGTATCATACTAGAAAGTCCAGAAAGGGATATACTTGAGAAAGCGATGAGGCTCAACTTTCAGGCCTCAAACAACGAGGCAGGGTACGAAGCTTTGCTAGTTGGGTTGACGTTAGCAATTGCTTTGAACATCACAAAGCTCAAAATATTCTCTAACTTACAACTCATATTAAACCAAATTATGGGAGAGTACTTAGCAAAGGATGAGAGAATGATCTTGTACTACGAGATCGCAAAGAAGGAGCTCGGATAGATCCCAGACTATTCCATCAATCAAGTCGGTTGTTCAAAGAATACACATGCAGACACACTGGCATCTTTAGCCTTAGCAATAAGCAAGGAAATAGTAAGAACCATCTCAGTAAACTACCTGGTTATGCCAAGTATAGCATTATCGGAAGCATCAGAGATGCATACGAGTGAGGATAAACTGAGTTGGATGGACGAAATCATGAATTATCTCAAAAATGGCAACCTTCCTGAAAATAAGAAGGAAGCCCACAAATTACGACTCAAATCTGCTAGGTTTTGGTTGTCACCTGAGCAAAAGCTTTGTAGGCGCTCTTTTTCTAGACCATACTTAAGGTGATTTCACCCAGACCTGGTACAAGACTTCCTCTTTGAGATTCAGGAAGGAAGTTGTGGCGCGCATACAGTAGGACGGTCTCTTGCACATAAGGCCTTGTCTCAGGGATATTGGTGGTCCTATATGCAAAAAGATGTCCAACAATTCGTTAAGAGGTGTGTAAAATGTCAATTATTTTCTCCTATCCCTAGACAGCCCGCAGGTGATTTAATCTTATTAACGAGTCCTTGGCCTTCCGCTCAATGGGGACTCGACATAGTGGGCCCATTACCTTGGGCATTGAGAAATAAGCAATTCTTGGTGGTAGCTATTGACTATTTCATGAAATGGGTTGAGACAAAACCTTTGGCCAATATAAGGGATACGGATACTAGAAATTTTGTTTACAAGAATATCACTACCCAATTTGGCATTTTGATAGTCCTTATATCTAATAATGGGACTCAGTTTGAAAGCAGCCCTTTCAGAGCTTTTTGCCAGGAATATGGAATTCAAAATCAGTATTCTACCCCCCTCTTATCCCCAAAGTAATGAGCAGGTAGAAATATCAAAAAAAATAATTCTGGATGGATTCAAGAAGAGGTTAGAAAAGGTAAAAGGAAAATGGGTGGAGGAGTTACCCAACAGATTGTGGACGTGCGGTGCAACAGGGGAAACCTCATTTGCACTCGCATATGCCATGAAGGCCATCATACCCCTGAAAATAAGATTACCAACGTTCAAGAAAACTTTAGCGACAATTGACGACAATAGCTCGACCATCAGCCAAGGGCCCGACTTTCTTAAAGAGAAAAGGGAGGTAGCAGCCGTTCAAATTGTTGCCTATCAACAACAAATGGCTCAGTCTTATAACAAAAAAGTTGGCCTCAGACATTTATACTTGGGGACTTAGTTCTCAGACGGGTTATGGGAGCTGCCAAAGAATCAACCCACGAAAAACTAGGTGCTAATTGGGAGGGACCCAATAAGATAGCTCGGGTTGTTGGAAATGGGTCTAATGAGATTGAGACCATGGATTAGAAGCAAATATCCAGGCCTTGGAATGTAGCTAATCTATGAAAGTTTTATTTTTGAAGTGCATTCATGAACATAACCTCCGAAGTACCTTCGGAGAAGAAAGGGTGCTCCCTGACATTATTTCTGTTAAATAATTCCTAGAACAGAATAGTCATCCTCTTACGGAGAGGGAGATTCATTTATAATAAGATTATCAATCAAACACTTATTTTCTATTCTCATCCTACTACTAAGGCAAAGAGGCAAAAAAACCTGATAGAGGCGTAAACCTAAATCAGGCGTAGCCACTTGATCAGATCTAGGCCCATGGTTAGGCATGTCGATGTAAACCAAATGGGCAATAGTCTGAGTCCGATTTGATCGACAGTTCGGTGCGAACGAAAAAATTGCAAGTAAAGGCCTGAGAGGGCCAATCTCTTTGCAAAATTCCGTAGAAGTCCCTAGTAGATACGCTAGGGACCTAGCTTTAGAGAAGGGCCAAAACTTCTTACAGCCAATTAAATGAGATTTTTTTCTAAGTGAATATGTCCCTAGCAAATATGTTTGGGACCTAGTTCTAGAGAAGGGCCGAACAGGGCCAAAACTTCTTAGAGCTAATTAAATGAGATTTTTTTCTAAAGTGAAAATGTCCCTAGCAGATATGCTTGGGACCTAGCTCTAAAGAAGGACTGAACAACGCCAAAACTTCTAGAGCCAATTAAATGAGATTTTTTCTAAGTGAAAATGTTCCTAGCAGATATGCATGGGACCTAGCTCTAAAGAAGGGTCAAACATGGCCAAAACTTCTTAGAGCCAATTAAATGAGATAAAAGAAAATGTCCCTAGCAGATATGCTTGCGACCTAGCTCTAAAGAAGGACTAAACAGGGACAAAACTTCTTAGAGCCAATTAAATGAGATTTTTTCAAAAGTGAAAAATTCCCTAGCAGTTATGCTTGGGACTTAGCTCTAAAGAAGGGCCAAAACTTCTTAGAGCCAATTAAATGAGATTTTTTCTAAGTGAAAATGTCCCTAGCAGATATGCTTGGGACCTCGCTCTGAAGAAAAGCCAAATACGGCCAAGACTTCTTGGAGTGAGATTGTTTAGCTAAACATCAAAAATATGATTGAATCAATCTCTAGTCATAACAAGGCATACAAAAAAAATATACTAAGGGCTTATCAAAAAAAAAGTTTCTTTCATATATGGTCAAAAAAGGTTCCTCTTTACATGAACTTTCAGGGGGCAGTAGGAGGGCCAGAAGAACTTGGCACAAATGATGCAAGTAGAGATCAGAATAAAGAGGCACATCAGCAGCCTTCAAAGCAGCAACCTAGCCTTTTGAAAAATATGCTCGCTCTAGTGAAGGAATCTACAAAGCAAGGTCGCTCTTTGCTTTCTCCATCCCCTGATCAAAAGCAGCATCTTCAAGATCCTTGACCTCAACTTTGAACTTGTCGAACTCTTCTAGCAAAGAAGAATGTTCAAGTTGAGTTTGGGATAAATCTACGCTAAGGGAGCTCTCTGAAGCCTTTAGTTCCTCCACTTCTTTTGCTAGCTTTTCATTCTCCTCTTTCAGGCTAAGAGATTGAGCCTAAAGAAGCAGCATTTTTTTGTAAAGCTTGACATATTCTTCATGAACAGATTCTTTCTTGGTCAAGGCAGACATACGATCATGGATCACCTCTTTCATAGCCTTATCTTTCCTAGCAATCCTGACCTCTACTTCGTGTACCTTTTGAAGACCTTTTTAAAAATGAAAGAGAAATATAAGTATGCAACTTGAATCTAAAAAGAAAAAGGGGATCAAGATAAATACTAGACCCATCTGTTGGATGGCTTGCTGAGCAATCTCATCATCTGAGGCCACCGCATTCACAAAAAGATTGCGTGGCAGAATTACATCCCTGACAATCCCCACCGCTACATTCATGTCTTCGGCGGCCGAGTCCCAAATGGTTATTTCTTTGCCTTTCACCTTTAGAACAGGGGCGGAAGGCATATTTTGACCATTCAAGGATAGGAGGAGACTTTATCCGCCTCTTCTTAGTCAATTTCTCCTCGGGTTTGGTATCATCTTGGCGAGGTGAAGAAGGAATAACTAGAGAAGCAGCTGGAACTTTGCCGGTAAGGGGCTCTAGAGAAGGAACCAAAGTCTCAAGATCGGCTGGAAGATTGGCAGTGGGAATCACAGTCTCAAAATCGGTGGGTAGATTGGCAGAAGAAACTGAAGCTTCAAGGTTAACTGGTAAATCGACAGGAATAGAGGTATGATCAGGAAGGAATGTCAAATCAATTGATGGGGTAGGTAATAAGAATGCTTCGTTAGGTATGGACAGTGCTGAAGAAGTGGTTTCGCATGGTTCGCTAGCATAAAGGAAACTAAGAAAATTCTTTACGGGTCTATTTCGTCTGGATGGAATGACAGTCCTTTGTCGAGAATAGGAGGTGGCAGTACGCTGGGCTTGCAATCTGGCTCTGTCCTTGGCAAGAGTGGCATTAGCCCGATCAGGAATAACGATGAATGAATGGTACGTAGGGTATACCCTAGCAAGACGTGAGCAACTTAGCAAAAAAGGCTTTCATTGAAGGATCATACCTTCCTCAAGTCATCCATCTTCACCGAGCTCTCAATTACTTTGCCCTTGACAGTCTCTCCTAAATACAAAAGCAGAAGACCAAAGGGTATATACTACGCATTGGGTAAAAAAAAGGACTTGAAGATAAATGATCATAAACCTGACATGCCTTCTTCATATGGGCATCGATAAGAGGGTGTATACTCTGCCTTATACTCCCAATTTTCAGAGACAAAAATGATGTCACTTTTATGGCCTTTGTTTTAAGTCTGGGAGATGGGTAACCAGGTATCCATCTTTCCTTCTTACCGCCAAATAGTAGCTGTCACCAACAGTCTTCAGAATATAGCAAAAAAGGATTTTCCAAAGGCCCAGGTTAACGTTCAACAGGTTGTTCAAAGCAGCAACACCCATAACAATCCTGAAAAATTAGGGCAGCACTGGATGGGGAAAAACTTCATAGCAGAGAAAACCAAAAACAATAGGGGGGTGCAATGGAAATCTCACCCCACCTTCAGTGATAACCCTCATATAAATGGGGATCGAGTCCCTTGTTCCGACCAATTGTTCGTCATCACTAGCAACTCAAATTTGGACGTCATCAGGAGTTGTTGTACTTGCTCTTGAAAGCTGGGATGCCTTCTTTTGTAAGGGGATCATTTGAAAGAAGAATGAATGAAGCAGAATGTCAAGTACAGAAGAAGAACAGGGTACAGAGGAAAGAAAGTTGAGATGTCTTATACTACGAGAGGGGGGAAGCCAAAGGACAAGCAAGGAGAAGAGACAATTGCATGTCTCGAAGACCCAGGCAATGATGAACCTGAGGACATGAAACACCTGTTAGACAAATGACGGCTAACATTCGTTTCTTTGGGGCAAATGAAGGGGCATAAAATCATTCCACGTGTAAACAATCATACAAGAGCCAAGTAAGGGTTTAGGCTCTACCAGAATTGAGTCGAACTATTTCGATCGATAGTATAATCGAGCAGAAGGATTTGGCCACATTAAGATAAGAACCAAACATCGTAATCACTGCCTACGTTTAAGGGATTTTGTTGTACCAGCTAGGTAAATCCAATAGCTCATAAGCTAAGATCAAGGGAACATTACAGAGATATTGAAAAGAACCAATAGAAGATCATATATTGGAGGAAAATGTGTCATCTTCTTCCCCAGAAAGAGGGATCACTGAAGTTTATATAAGTCAGCAAGGATGCATAGTGAAAGGTACGTTGAATCCTTCCATAACACAATTCTTTTTGATTTACACCTACTAACTTAAGCATTATAGTGCTTTCAATCGAAACACTTCGATCTTAGGCAATTTGTTCATTTTGCAGGAAGCTTGACTCGAGGAAGGATAATACTGTTCATAGAGGATAGAAGGAATTTTTTCCACTTACAACGAGTTTGATGATTATCATTTAACTATTCTTTTAAATTTTCTCTCTTGGTCAATGCTCTCTAGATAATTGAATTTTTAATTTTTATTTTCTCAAAAATTAGATCGTGGTATTGAAAATTTGGCTATAATAAATTACATTTCAAAATAAATTATTTTGATTAATTGATTTTGATTATGATTTTATTTTATGAATAAGTAATAAATCGTCCCCAATGAAAAAATATTTTAGTTCCGCTCCTGAATGGCAATGATACCCTACAATCTAAGCTACTGTTTGAAAGGATATAAAGCATGGGCTGGGTGGAGACTGGAGGGAATGTGAAAACAAGATTTGTAATGGATGGATACAATTGAATTGGATGGCGCAAATAGTGGGAGTGTTTACTGCACGCATCTGTGTATTAATGTCCAAAAACAAAAACAAAAACAAAAATAAATTAGGGTTAATTGTAAGTTGTACCCCGAAAGATAGTTTAAATCTCAATTTATACCCTTAAAAATTAAAAATCTTAATTTGCACCCTCAAAGATAAAACTTTGTATCAATGTGCACCCCTAAAGATAAAAAATCTCAATTTACACCCTCAAAAATAGAAATTTGTATCAATGTACATTCCTAAAGATAAAAAATATTAATTTACACCCTCAAAGATAAAAATTTGTATCAATGTGCATCTAAAACTAAATTGATAAATTATACCTAGATCCCCTCATATTTGTCACTTAATCATTTGGACCCCTTCACATTTAGAATATTACTCCCACATCTCATAGCGTTTGTGCACGTGTAACACGTAATATTTTTTAGTTGATATATGCTAATATAACCGTTAAAAAATATGATTTTATCCTAATAAAAAATTATAATTTCATATTACCATTTATTTTGTGGGTCCGATATACTCTAAAATTTAAAATCGAGTTTACTATATGAATGTTCAATAAAATGTAGATATTTATATAATATTTTTTATATCCGATGCAATATATCACTCAATGTGCATCCATTTATTCTATTAGATATTTCAATGATAAACTTGATTTTGAATTTTAAAGTATATTGGACTCATAAAATAAAGGGTAATATGAAATTATAATTTTTTATTATGATAAAATCATATATTTTTATGGTTATATTAAAAGATATCAACGAAAAGGGGTTATGTGTTACACATGCACAAACGTCATGAAATGTAGGAGTAATATTCTAAATGTGAAGAGGTCAAAATAATTGAGTGACAAACATAAGAGATCTAGGTATAATTTATCAATTTAGTTTTAAGTGCACATTGATATAAATTTTTATTTTGAGGGTACAAATTAAAATTTTTAATTTTTGAGGGTACACATTGATATAAATTTCTATCTTTGAGGGTATAAATTAAAATTTTTAATCTTTGAGGGTGCACATTAATATAAATTCCTATTTTTAAAAGTGCGAATTAAAATTTTTAACATTTGAAAGTACAAATTGAGATTCAAATAATCTTTTAAAGTATAATTTATAATTAACCCAACAAATTAAGGTGAGAAATCTTCCTCTTTATTTCTTCCCGTGCCACTAAATAAAACGAATCTCTTTAGTTGCACAAACACACCCCACACCACACACACGATGCTATTAATAAAAAAGTACTGATCAGGAGACATTAGCCAAAAAGAGATTAGATTACGAGAGAGTAGTTGTTGGTGTGAGGAAGATAATCAGAATTCCTTTCTTTCGCAACAGCGAAAAATAAGATCCCTCTCTCTCTCTTTCTCTCTCCCTCTCTCTAAATAATAAATATAATGGTTCTATGTTATACATGCATATTTGCGTAGACAGATGGGGTCGTACAAACTCATTAAAGGGGATTATGATTCAGAAACCTGTGATCATACAGTTCCAAAGAACAAGAACAGTTGTTCGGGGAACAAGTACGACAACCATAAGGATGATGTTGAATCAGCTTTCCGAATGCCTAGTTCGTCATCTTCCAATTCAGTCGCCAATGGCGGTCGTAATGGCCCAAAGATAAAAGCCCCTGGACCGGGTTGTGGTGGAAGTGGCCGCCTTGTCTCGCTGGACGTGTTTCGCGGGCTAACCGTCGCGGTACGTGTGTTTCTCCATCGCCCTCTCCCTCTCTTCCCCTCGTCCGCAAGGAAATATGCAATGTAACGCTGATACCACATGTCAAATGTTGGCTATAACCATTAGTTTTAGGGAAAGCTAACAGTTGTTACATTATAGTCTATAATCCCTGTAGAACATTGGTATATTTCGAAGCACAATGACGACTAAACCATGATGGATAAAAATATAGGTAATTATTAGATTAGCTTTATATTTTAGAAAACTACACAAAATCCCATGCTTTTGAACAGGGGCGGAGCCACAAACTTACGCTAGCAGGGGTAAATTCTAACAATAATTATACTAAATGTTAATTTAGGGACCTAATTTAGAAGCCTAATGCATTATTACCGCAACAAGATTCGCAAATAGACTATATTTAATGCTGAGATCCACTTGTAATTCAATGATGACAACACATTAGATTATCAAATTAGATCTCAAAATTAGGTCCAATAGCATTGCTCTTTTAACAATAGTAACTTAATAATAAATAAAAAGAGGCGACGAGCCCACCACTATTAAGCGTGAAAATGGTCAGATGTACACAACTTTATTCCGCATGTGAGAATATGTTTTTGCAACTTGAATCCTTGATGTTTAGGTTATAATGAAGTAACTTTACCTTTAAAATCGTTATGGCTACTTTTTACAATATAAAAATATTAAATGATAATCTCAGTAATATTAAATTAACAACTATAAGAGAGATTAGGCAAGACATGGGGAGAGAGAACAAAGAGCTTCACATGATTTTTTGAAAACATGTTGAGAAATTTGATTAACTAAACATTATTGAAGTTTACTAATTGAGAATTAAGAAAGTTAATTCAAATGGAAGGGATGATTAAGTAGATTAAAGTGTATGAGAGTTTTTTTTTAATTTTTTTTTTATGGGGGCAAATTTAGAATATATTAAAACCTATCTAAAAAAATTGCTCGCAAAAGAAAATTGAGTGGGGGCACTTGGCCCCACCACAAGATGTGTAGCTCCGCCCATGCTTTTGACTCACAATGAAACCATTATAAATTGACTCTATACTCTCATACATGCGATACTAAAATTTTGAAGAATAAAAATACTAAAACATTACAAAAAGATGAAGGTTCTTAATAGTAGTTGCTTTTTAGTTGCAAACTCTAAGTTGTGTAGGTTTATGGAATGTAGGGAATGAAAGAAGCACCAACTCCAACTTAGTTTACCCTGAAATATAATTAATAGGAAGGCCGCAATCTAACTGCATATAATATTTGCTTTGGCTTATCCCGTGTTCTAACTTAAAACGTATCACAACAATTAAAATAAATGATGTAGATTAAAGTAGTTCTAATACCAATTAATAGAAATAGGATTGAAAGGTATTGGGAGGGAAAAGAAGATTAAGAAGAAGAAAAAAATAGAAAGAAATTAGAAAGAAGAAGAGAATTAAAATGAATTTAGGGAGTTGGAGTTGTGGAAGGTGTGCTTGTGGAAGGGCAGGCTGTGGGAGTTGGAGTTGTTATAAGGGACAACAATGGGGATTTTGTGGCAGGGATGGCCAAGAAGTGTGTGCCCAGTGAGGAGGCAATGGGCGTGGAAGCCATAGCTTTGCAAGAAGCTTTAAGGATTGCTCGAATTCAAGGAACATAGTCTATTGCCTTGGAAGGGGACTCTATTCAACTTTTGAAATCTATTAAGGCTTTGGATACTAAGGAACATACGGAAACCAGAGCAGCAAATCTGGATAGTGTGATGTTTGGACTCAAAAGCTTGAGTTATTACGAGATAACTATGGTCCGGAGAAATGGTAATAGATTGGCGTTGAGCTTAGCTAAATATGTGAGGTTTGTTGAGGATTCAATTGTATGCCGAGAGAGTGCTCTAGATTTTGTAATGCCTCTTCTTTTCTATGATATTCCGTATCAATAAAACATACCGTTTCTATTCAAAAAAAAAAGAATTTAGGGAGAAGAACCACTATTCACTAATTCAAGCAATCAAAATCTGATGAAAATCAATAAATCCATCCATCCATATATATAGGGAACCAAAAAATTCTAAAATCAAAGTCCTTGTATGACCCTATTGCCAAAGAAGTGATAAATCAAAATACACAATTTAAATCCCACAAATCCAAAAAAATAAATAATATTAAAAAATTTCTAACTTTTGATATTCAATTCCAAAAGGCATATAACTCCTTCTAGCCCCCTCCCCCACCCCCACAACAAAAAAAAAAAGAAAAAGAAACTCCTGGATCCCACCAGTAAGTTGGCAAATTTTGCTTATTGTGCATTCCAATGATTGTCTTGTGGCATTCACTAGCTCAGATTCCATTTCACTAGTAGGAAAAACAGCTTTTATCTTCTTCTTCTTCTTCCTTTCAACATACTATCATGTTCTTTGTGCAGCTAATGATAATTGTGGATGATGCTGGTGGAATTTTTCCTGCTATTAATCATTCTCCATGGAATGGTTTAACTTTAGCAGATTTTGTGGTGCCATTTTTCCTCTTTATTGTGGGAGCATCACTTGGGCTTGCATACAAGGTATTTCTTGAATTGTGAACATATGATTTAATTTCCATTTCTATTTTAGATGCCTTATTATTTGTGGTGGGTTCAACAAATTTTGTTATTTTCCCTATCATTTGGCATGGTAACCTTGTTTTTAGTTTGTGGAAGAGCATAATAATGTGATGAATATATGTTCTAAGAATTCTTTCTATGATTTTACTAGTTGCAGTTGTTTCTGCTGGATGCTCTGAGGTGGAGCAAAGCATGATTGTGGCATTCTAGGCTTGTAAATTATGAAATTATTAGTATTCGTACTATTATTATTATTATTAGTGCAACGAAATTTAGTCATTTGCTGCCACAAGTAGTCTCCTAAGATAACTAGTACTATACGAGGGTATCAACAAGTAGTCGTAGTAGTTATTTGTATCCTTACGCTAACAAAATTATCTTTTGTATATAGAACGTGTCTTGCAGACTTATTGCGACAAAAAAGGCAATATTTCGAGCAGTGAAGCTTCTAATAGTAGGAATTTTTCTCCAAGGTGCACTTCTATATTTTTAACTTTTGGCTATGATATGTTTCCTAAAAATGCTTATTTATGACTATAGTAGAGAAAAAGGATGTGGGGGAGAACACTGTGTAACAGGATATTAAGTAATTTCATTTCTTGTACTGATGCATCTTTGAATTTTCTTTGATTACATTCCTTTATTAGTTTCTTGCACAGCTCTTTATTATATTTTGGATGTGTTTTACTTATATAATGTATGCCTCTTTTGTCCAGGGGGCTATTTACACAGCCTCAACAACCTAACTTATGGAGTTGACGTAGAACAGATCAGATGGATGGGGATATTGCAGGTATGCTATAGAAGTGCTCTTTCTAGATGCCTGCTTCAACAGATTTTAGCTAATTGTTTACTGAAAGATTTAGCCATACTTTGAATACACACACGTGTGTGATATAACTGTAGGCTTCCAAAAATGAGCAAATTTTCTAATCTACCTAGTTTAGATAGCATAATTTTGAGTGCATCATTAATAACTATGTTTTTTCCTTTAGAGAATTGGAAAAGCAATTTAGCCATACAGTGAATACACACGTGTGATATCACTGAATGAGCAGATTTTCTCATCTACCCAGTTTAGATAGCATAATTTTGAGTGCATCATTAATAACTGCATTTTTTTTTCCTTTAGAGAATTGGAATAGCATATTTGCTAGCGGCAGTATGTGAGATTTGGCTCAAGGGTGTTGGTAAAGTCAATTCCGGATTGTCTTTGGTGAAGAATTATCTAATGCAGTGGTAAGTAATTCATGATTAATTTCACATGGTTCTTTTTTCATTGGTTTGGAGCAGATTTAAACCCACAACATAGCATGGGGAGCAAGAGTGAGCATTTTGGAGGCTATTCGAAGTCACTGGGGCTTTGCCCGTGGGTGTATATGTACATGATTTATGATCGTTAGATTCTTTGTGATGGACAAGGTGTCTCAAAGGAAGTGGTGTACAGTATTGAGGCCAGCTTGAGGTTAGATTTAAGCACCATGAAAGAATAGTGAAAGCTAGTAGTGACTGTGAGTGTATGCTAGCCTTACCAAGTCCATAAGTGTGCTAGAATTGGGTCTTAACAGGGCTTAATGTGGCTTCCAAGGCATGTATTGGATTTGCAGCCAGCTGAACCATCTCTAGAGCATGTATAAAATCTAAACCAATCCAAACTAAAGCCAGACTTGCCACTGATGTTGTAGTTGGGCAGTTAATCCATCACCACAGTGGAAGTAGGTCACATTGACAGGTTTCCCACATTTTGATAAAGCTAATGAATAATGTCATGGTTTGTTTTTTTGTGGAGTGCTCGACATATGGGGTCACATTAATTATGTGAAGAAAAAAAAAAGGTCCTATGGGAGAGGCCTGTTGTTAAAGATGACTTTGCTGAACACATTTTTGTTGTCTATTTCCATTCTTCCCTGTCAACAGATTGGTTCTCCTGATCATGCATCGTTTTACTACACGTGCTTCTCTAAATTTTGTTGATATGCACAGTTCAAATCCCTTTCTACCACTCTCTCTCTTTCTCTCTCTCTATACATATATTTATATATATAATTCCAGGGTTGTCGCTTTGGTGCTTACTGTCCTGTACATTTCCTTGTTATATGGCTTGTATGTTCCTGACTGGGAATATCAGATTCCAACAGGAACCTCTTCTTTGGCACCAAAGATAGTCTCAGTAAGTGTTTGATTTTAGTTTTCTTTTATATCAAAGGATGTTGGGTTTAGGTCTCAGTTTTGATACTGACGTGCATCATAGCTTGACATTAGTTATTCCCCTTGAAGGTGAAATGTGGTGTACGGGGAGACACCGGACCAGCTTGTAATGCTGTTGGAATGATCGATCGCAAATTTTTGGGCATTCAACATTTGTACAGAAGACCTATCTATGGCCGTATGGAGGTAATTCAAGCTTCATTTAGTTCAGATAGCAATTTTCTTTTGGCATTCCTTGGTGTTTACTCGTTAGTTCTTCTGTAGCAATGCAGTATCAATTCCCCAGATTATGGTCCACTTCCACCCGATGCTCCTTCGTGGTGTCAAGCCCCTTTCGATCCTGAAGGACTTCTAAGGTCTGTTTACTTCTCCTCTTACTTCGTGAGATTAATTTGTAGCCGTTAGCAGGGGATGCTCTAGAAAGCACTCTATGCAGTTGGCTGTTTTATGTGTCTCCCCTCTGAAACAAATAAAAAAAAACAATACTGTTTGTTCATCCATTTTTAGTGAACTCCTGCAGGGGACAACCTTTATATTATACTAGAATCTATTGCACTCTTGATCGATGTGCAAAATTACTGCATTGATTTTAAAAATCAAGTATAGTAAGAAGATAAATTGGGTAATTAAAGTGAAAAAATATTTAAGTAGTTTTGTTTTTTGGATGTGATGAAAGAAGAGAAAGTGGTAGGAGAAAGAGACGATTACCGGAAGATTTAATAAATAAGTCTGGTGGGTGCCTGGTGGGAGAGACAGAGATTGGTACGTGTAATTTTGATTTTTTTGACAGTATTAATACACATTTTACAGGTGGAGACCAGATAATCACCATCCTCTCCTGCAATGGCTTAATAACTAGTATTAAACTCATCCAAATAATAGAAAATGAATTATCAGACTAGTTTAGGAAGTTAGGATAATTAAATTAGCCCTTCCTTGCTTTTTAATCCATTTTCTGATGAAACTAAATTAAACATGGACTACCCGTAAGCCAGTTACTTTATGGTAGCAATTCAGTCTGACACTTCAGCTGAATGGGCCTCCTATATCTCTTCTTCTGTTGGTAGGCCTATCAATGGAATCTAATTAGTCAAATATGGATTGATATTTTTTTATTCATTATCCAAATCTGAATTCAAATCTTTTATATCATATTTAATGGATTGAGATTGATATACTAGCATCCCGCTTATGATTCGAACTGAATTATGGGTGTACAGGTATATAAATACATAATGGAATAAATGATTGCATGATGAAATTGAATTGAAATTTGGATGCAATCTTTAAAACTCTGCTCAATTGATTTAAACGAACTGGATTGAATTTATAAGAAATTCGAATGTGAATTGTAAAAATGAAATGCATTTGGATATTCACATCAAAAATTTAATTGGGTTCGTATTAGACAAAAAATCTAATTCAAATCCAATCCGTTGATGGTCTTATCTGTTTGCTTCCCCCATCCCTCATCCCCCAATTGTTCTCCTTCCCCTTTGTCGATTGCCCCGTACTAGTTGGGATTCCTTGATCCCTTATTGCCCCCCCCCCCCTTCCAAATTACAGATGCACACGCCTCATTCACCACTCACCATTGGCTTACCTCCCCCATCTGCAGACTGTCGCCCACATGCCAAAGCCTTCTAACGGGTTGACTTCCCCCACTTTAAAATGGGTTGCATGTGTTGTGCCCCTCACCTGCTCGAAGAAGAGGACTTTCAAAATGACANTTTGCATAATGGGGGTTCTCCCTAAGAAAATTGAAAGGGTGTGGGAATAAATTAAAAATTTATGGCAGGTGTAAACATATTCCTTGTCATGTGTGCGTCCATTGATGTATGGTTTTGTATACACATGGATATACATAAAAAACGTATGTTTTTATAAAAATGTGTTTTTTTTTTTTTGTTTGGGGGGGGTTGGGGGGTAGGTGAGGGGGAGAGGTGGGCCATCACTTGACAAGGGTGAGGGGTTCACTTATAGGTTGAGGGAGGAACCCCAACTGGTAGGGAGGAAAGACACCGATAGAGGGGGAGGATGCCACTGATAGTGGGGAAGGATGGACCTCACCGACTAGGAAGGGGGAAGCTAAAGGGGGTGAGGTGGGAGAGGGGGAAAGAGGGCCTAATTCAGCTGATGCTGAACAGCTGCCCGAGATCCCACTGATTTACTGGTATGCCATGGAGAATTTAAATGCTTTTCTAATTGACCCTTTCTTTGATGTTGTAGTTCAGTGACGGCTATTGTCACTTGTTTGGTTGGTTTGCATTATGGGCACGTTATTGTCCATTTCAAGGTTATAGTATTTCAACTTCTCATGTATGGTTTCTGTTATTTAGAATGAAGATTTATGTTTGCTTATTCTTATTCATCTTTCCCACATGCAGGATCACACCAATAGACTTATGCAGTGGATGATTCCATCCTCTGGCCTTGTAGTATTGGGTGTTACCTTTAACTTTTTTGGTAAGAAGTTTAGTTTCACTTTCCTCCTGGTTAGTGTTCTGAAACTGTGGTGTAGTAATAGCATGTCACCTTATCCTACTTAACATTTAACACCTTGGAAGCACGGATACGGACACGGGTGTCGTATCCGATACGATATGAACATGGGAAAACGACAAAATTCTAAAATATAGGACATGGGTACGGTTAATTAAAATAATATAATATATTTTTATATATATAATAACATTAATAATAAAATTGAGTAATTAATTAATATTTTATAATTGAACAAATGAGCTAATGCTAAATTTGATTAGTGGGCTAATATGTTATGAACAGTGGACTAAACCAAATTAGGCAGTGGGTAACAACTAATAAGGTATGATTGTAATTTAACATAAAATATAAGAAGTTCAAGGGTTATTTGTAAATTAGTTTAGCAACTAGGGCAAAGAAAAAAAAAAGAAAATAATAGGGGTTGAAATGTAAATCAAGACAAGCAAAAAAAAAATTAAAAAAAAAAAGGCAGCCCCATCGCCCAGAGAACTCAGGTGGAGAGAGAGAGAGTCGAAGAGATACCTAAAGATGAAGACGACATACCTACTCGAAGAGGAGATTTGTGATTGCGGCTGATCAGTTACGTCGTCTTTTTTTTTTTTTTTCTAGTTTCAAATTCATGGTTGTGGTCGTATCCCTCCGTATCCGAGCCGTATCCGTCTATAACAAATATTTCTTCACTGTTTAGGACATTTGTAGAAGTATCGGACACGTGTCCGACCATGTCCCACGCGTATCCGTATCAGACACGTGTCCGATACCTCCACCTTGACCCACTGAGGAGTATCTATGCTTGCTAGTTTAATACCTTTCTGTGTTACAGGAATGCATGTAAACAAGGCTCTCTACACATTTAGTTACATGTGTCTTACAGCTGGCGCTGCTGGCGTTCTCTTTGCTGGAATATATGTATTGGTAAGATCTTTGGACTCTTTTTCCTGCAAACGACACCACTTGAACAAGGTTTCTTCCTATATATTTTATATTTGGGCTCTGCTACACTCGATTTTATATCAATGATTTCTGGATTCCCTTGTTGAATATTGTATCCATCAAGGAGCAATGACCAATCAAAATGCTAGTGTATAACTATGGGCCTGTTTCTCATACAGGTTGATTTGTATGGATATAGACGCTCAACTTTCGTGTTGGAATGGATGGGAATGAATGCATTGCTGATTTATATACTTGCAGGCTGCAATGTCCTGCCCATTATGCTACAAGGATTCTATTGGAGACAGCATCAAAACAATATTGTACGTATCTTTTAATGTGGTCTTGTCACATGTTAGTTTCTCTTGTTCCTTTCCATAGTTTATTGAGTTAGCAAATCATGATAATGAAGGTGAGCCCTAGTGCACCGGTAAAATTGTATTATTGTAACCTATGTCGGATCAAATAACAAGAATCTTGTGCACTAAGTTGCCTTTTTAGCAAATCATAACAATGACAATAATAACAATAATATGATAATAATAATATATTATTATTGTAATAAAATTACTAAGACAATATTTTTTACTGACAATAAGTTATCTTTGGCAGCTTAGATTAATTGGAATCGGGGCATAAGGATTAGAAGACGAGGTATGCTACAGAAAGATTTCAGGCCGGAGAAGTTAATCACGGCCATCTAATTTTAGCAAGTTGCCGACAAGGATAGGAGATCTTGTGAGAATTTTGTAGGAGTGGAAGCAACTACATTCTCTATTTCTCATATATTTCTTAGACCCGACTTAAAATGTAGCAGATACTTAAGGAGCAATCGGAAGCTTAGCAGAATATTGCTACATCTTATGAGACTTGAGGTTGTTTTCTCAAAGACTTTAATGTCTTGGAAAATTCTGCACTCATATAAGAAAACTTTTTTCCATGATAATTAGATTGTGTGGCTGGCTGGTGGGCATAGGAAAATTGGACAAAACAGGAATCACAAAAATTTTTTTTTTGGGGATAATTACACTCGGATCTCCTGAAGTTTGTCACTTAATTATTCAGACCTCCTAATATTTGAAATATTACATACATATCTTTTAAGGTCATACACACATAATACTTAGGTCTCTGCAGTCAAATATCCGTTAATATACCTTTAATAGATTACACCTAGACAACCTAAAGTTTGTAGTTGTATAATATTTACATCCATCAAGTTTAAAATGATATATTTAGATCAAAAATATTTTAATTAAAGATAAAATATAAAATATTTTAAGTTTTATAACCAAAATTCAGTATCTATTGTATAATTTATTGAAATAAAATTAAAAATAAAAGCTAATTTTTTCTTCAAAATTTATAATTAATATACAATTATACTATCTATTGGAATAAAACTAAAAAATTAAACAAGAGGTCTAAGTCATTCATAACAAAACATGAATTTTACAAATCAAAATTCATGTTCTATTATGTCATTTATTGAAATAAAATCATAAATAAAAATCTATTTTTTTTAAAAAAAAATCATAATTACTATATAATTGTACTATCTATTGAAATAAAACTAAAAAAATAAAACAAAGGGTCAAACTATAATGAAGACAATATATTCTATCTTTAATTGAGGTAATTTGGTTGTTTAAAATTAAATTTCAATAGATAATATAGTTATATACTAATTATAATTTTTTAAGAAAAAATTAGATTTTTTTTTAATTTTATTTAAATAAATTTCATAACAGAATATGAATTTTTGTTGTAAAATTTAAAATATTTGATATTTTATATTTGATTAGAATATTTTTGGTCTAACTATGACATTTTAAACTTGAGGAGTTTAAATATTACATGCTACAAACTTTAGGGGTTTTGAATGTAATTTACTAACAGACATTGGCGGCAGGGGTTTATATGTTACGTGCGTACAAACTTCAAAGGGTCTATGTGTAATATCTTAAATGTCAAAGAGTTTAAGTGATTAAGTAACAAATTTCAAGGGGTCTGAATGTAATTCTTCCATTTTTTATGAACATATACAAAGGGATACTTGCATATTTTAAAAATACTTTACTCAATATTATTCCATTGTGTATATTCATCAAGAATCATTATTTGATTACAACCCATGGATTTTGCCCTCTATCTCTTTTGATAAATAAATGTTGATTATGTCTCTAATTTCTTTGATTTCTGCCAGACAACTGCTTTACTTCATCATATAAAACTCACTTTGGTCAAATATACAATCAACAATCCAGTAAATCATTGGACAATGCCCGTAAACTCAGGGGAAAGAGAGTTCCTCTCTCCTTTAATGTGCATAGTGGAGTATGCTCATTCTTACCTTTTAAGTGACAAAGGAGGTGAGTGTACTCCATTTTACTAGGGTTTTTTTTTGGGTAAATAAACCATTTTATTGAGATAGGCAAGGGAAAATAAAGAAAACTCCTTTAATCGAATACAATTAAACTAAATTGAGTAATCAAATGAAGCTTTACAAGCAAAAGCTAATTACATTCCTGTTTGCCCTGCCAAAAGAAAACTTCACTGCCAAGATAGCAAACGATATGCCACCAAATTCCAACCTTGCAGAATCCTTCTATGTTGTGAGAGAGGGAACTTCAATGAGGATGATCTCCTCTAATCATATTCAGTATCATCTATGATGTTGTACCAGAATTCTTAAAAATATTGCGAAAGATTCTTGAAATCCTTTCTTGCCACACTCATCACAAAAATTGAAGGGACAGAAGACAAGGTGACAACCTCTTGGAGGATTGGGGAGACCAAAAAATGATAAATGGATTTTTCAGATTTATACCAAAAAGGTGTCATGTTGAAACACATATAGAAACCGGATAATACTTTGCATCTTAAATTTGGGATCCCATATGAATCTCAAATAAATAAAAACCTTTGGATGAATGTGTTCTATTAAAAAAAATTAACAGACCCACTGATCAAGGGTCTATATTAATTGATTTGGAATGAATGGCCCGTCAACGTTATATTCAGTACTTGTACTTGTCATGTGCTCTGACAAGCCCAAAAACTCGTGTTTAGAATTTGATTCCAAGTAGCTCTTGTCAACAGAGTGTATATGTCCTACAGTTTACAAACTGATACTAAGTCTCCATCATTACATATTTATTCTTTAGGCAAGACTATAATACTTCAACAGACTTCAATATCTAAATCCTAATCTCATCTCATGGTTTCGAATTCACCCAATTATCCATGTCTTACATTCTCCCAATCTAAGATTACATATGGTATATACGCATGTAACCCCTCTCATGCCATAGAAAAATACTATTGTTTACTACAAAACAAATCCCCTTTCCACATAACACAATCTATGGTTTCTGATGATACCAAGAAGAAGTACGCAAACTCAAACAAGTCTACAATGCAACAGATGGATTGGCTGACCTAATCCTAGTCTAGCTGACCTGACTCACCAGGATCCAAGTCAGTTAAGGCACGAACCTCCTCAACAATTATTAACGTAGTTCGGCAAGTGTTGAAGTAGCTCAGCTTACACCGGGAAAGGACAAAAGAGCCATTACACTACCAAATCTTACCTTGGGCAAGATTAATCTATCTCTAGAATGCCACATCACAAGTTTCTAAAATGACACATCATACCAATGGAGGAGAGCATCTGACGGTCAAATATTTCCTACAATAGTCCAATAACTAGGGGACGACACCATTATTGCTTGAGGACTATGCTACTCTAGTGTCTAAATAGGTAGGTCCTTACCTTGGCAAAAAGAAGCTCAATTGTAATTTCAAGAGTGCAATTGTCTTATTCCCCAAGTAATACAAACCAGAAGAGCAAGAGCCTTCATTATAGTAGACTAGCCCAACTCTTCAACTTGTTGACCACTTATTTCCTTGTGTTCTTGCTTACCGTTACTCTATTCATATACACACAGCTCATTCACACCACACAAAGCTTGTTTTGCTCCCATTGCTGATAGTCCTCAACTTCATACACCATTGGTTTGGCATCGTCTAAGAGAACGATTGTCATTGTTCTACCTCAAATCTACCTTGTCCTTGTTTGATTGATGGTTCTCATAAGAAACATGAGCCAAAACCCAAAAAATTAGAAACGAGTATTGTCACCACCATCTGCTCTTGCAAATCCGCCCTGGAGGAGGAGCCATAAACCTATCAGCAAACCACGCTACACCTTCTGAGGCAAAACCAACAAATCATCGCTCTCCTCACTGCCCAGCAACCTCATAACCCTTTCCTTCCTCAACCACCTCTTAATGAGGTCATTGAGGAAGACAACTGGAGCCTTTTTGATGATTACACTCACCACCATTGAGCCTGGACAAAGCAGAAAGATGAGGTGCAGAACAGAACTGGCAGAGAGAGGAGTCTCATTCCTTAGCTTCCTCTTCAGCCAAACCCTTTGAACCAGTATTGGAAAAATCTCATCAAGGGAGACTAGAATGAACTGGGAAACATGAAGAATATCATTAATAACAAAGTTTCAGTCTCCATGGAAGCTCTAGTTAAGCAAACAAAGTCTCATTTCACCCAGGAGATCTAGCATTTTTCCCTTCCGTCCAAGTTTAAGATGCCTCAGACGGAGGTCTTTGATGGAACTAGGACCCCTTCAATCACCTCAACACTTATAAGGACAAGATGGAACTTCATGGCTACCATAATCCAATTTGGCACATAGCCTTCTCAATCAATCTCAAAGGTTCTATATGGACCTGGTATAATTAGCTACCTCTATTCTCCATTAGTTCCTTCAAGGAACTATCTATATAGTCCGTCTCCCACTTCATTGGTGCAAGGACACACCTCAAACCAACCTCCTATCTCCTTAGCATAAAACAAAAACAAGGTGAACACCAAGGAAGTATGTCTAACGCTTCAACCAGGAATCTCTTTTGGTGGATGGCATGGATGGCAAAGTGGCTCTGGCAATGTTCATCGCTGAGCTTTAGCCTTCTGAGTTCCTCTTCTTTGTCTCTAAGAACCCTCATACCAGCATGGCTAAAGTGCTAGCCAAAGTAGAAAAGTGTATCAATGGGGAGGAAGTCCTCCATGACAAACACAACTCTTCAGTTGCATCAAATCAACATCTGGGCTAAAAGAGGAAAGTGACTAGTCCCAAGAAAAATTGAGACCCATCTCCTAAGAGAAAAAGAGATGTGCGAGATTAGTTAGGAGCCCCTAGCCCAAACTTTCATCCAAGGTTCGCACCAGAATAATATATGCCTCTAAGCACATTAGTGGCATATTTGTTGCATGATGTGCAACGTGAGAAATTTGTCTAGTGGCCCTACAAAATGAGGTCAGATCCTTACAAGATGGATCACAACAAGTATTACAACTTCCACAAAAATCATGGGGCACAACACAAATGAGGTCATCTAGTTAAAGTGAGAGATCAAGTTTCTCGTCTAGCTAGGACATCTTAAGTGATTCGTGGCACAAGAAGGAGATAACCGAGATGAGAATCGTCAAGAACCACCTTAGGCAAGACAACAACATTAACAGCCCCTTGGTGAAATTGGGGTCATCTCGGGAGAATTTGCTAGAGGAGAAGAATCCAGATCATCCATAAAATCCCATGTGCAAAAGACCTGTTCTAAGGATTTCATTGAAATATGTGTTATGCAAAAGGCTCCTCGTCTCAACACAGAGATCACCATCTCAGACGCCGACCTAGAGGAATGTCAGCTTCCTCATGATGACCCTCTGGTTATGAAGGTTGTAATAGCCAACAAAAGCATCTATCGAGTCCTTGTTGAAAATGATAGCTCAATCGACATCATCTTCGTGAATGCCTTTGATCAACTCGACATTGGTCCAGAACAACTTGAACTCGTCATATCTCCCTTAGTTGGATTCTTAGGAAATATAATTATATCCCTTTAGCTTTATTCATCTTATCTTGACAATTAGAGAACCTCCCTTCCAAGTTACTATCACAATTAAGTTTGTTGTTGT